CTTTATCTTCTTCAGAGTAAGAGTCACCGGGTGCCTGCAGGGTGCCAGGCGCTGGCCCGGCCCCAGGGACCTGCGTCTTCTATGACTCTGGCCTCGCACTCTCCTTGAGACAGTTTGCCTCCTTGCTGTTCTTTACCAAGAAGAACAGGGCGCGCCTGTCACCGCGATCAATTTTATCGATTGATTGTTATTGTTGTCATTAACGACTGTGTTTTTAAGTAATCTCTGTACCCACTGTGGGGCTCGAACTCACGACCCTGAGATCAAGAGTTGCACGCTCCACCGACCGAGCCGAGCCCGGGCGTCCCCGCTCTGACCAATTTGAGAACACTCCAGAAGGAAGCCCCGTACCCGTTGGCAGTTACCGCCCGTTTCCCCGCAGCCCCTCTCTGGCCCTCAGCCCGAGGCGGCCGCTCTCTACTTTTTGTCTCTATGTTTGCCTGCTTGGACCATTTCGCGTAAACGAGTTCTACAACATGTGCCTTCTTTCCCTTAGCATCACGTTTTTAGAGGTTCACCCGTGTCTCCGAACTTCCCTTTACGACCCTCCGCCGTGTGGGCACACCACACTGTGTTTCCCGTACACCAATTGGTGGGCGGGGGTGGTTTCCACCTTGCGGCTCTCGGGGAGGATGCTGTGAACCCTCACGCGCAGGTGTAGGCATGCACGTTTTCAGGTCGCTGGGGCAGGAGCCGAGGAGGGGACCTGCTGGGTTGTGCGAGCCCGTACAACCTCACGAGGAACCGCCCGACGGTTGACGTTCTCCCCAGCAGTGCTTGCGGGCGTGACCGTGTCTTGCTTTCGCTTGGCCCAGATGGCGGGTTCAGCGAGGGCTTCGGTGCCCCCTCCGCACGGAACGCCGTCTCCCTTCCCTCCCCGGCCGCGGCTTTCCTTCCCGAGTCCGCTCTTTCGGGCCCCCTGGTGCTTCGCGCCATCCCGCCTGGTCTCTCGTCTGGGTGTCCGTGTCTTCTGTAGCCTGCACGTAGAACGTCGGCTCCGCAGCACCGAACACAGCGTCCCCCGTGAAGCGGATGTGGGGTGAATGTTTGCGGGATAAGCGAGTAAACGTTGCCCTTCGCGAGAGCGGGGCCCCTAACTTGTCCAGCTCTGTTCCTCTGTCCACCTCCGTGCGTAGCAGGTGGTATTGGCAGAAGGAGCGGCGAGCGCGGTCATGGGTCCGGGGGCTGTGAGGGGAGTCTGGCCTTCCGGGAGTCGGGAAATTACTCGTGGGAGGGCTGGGGGACACCCCTCTCTCAGGGCCCCCAGAGTACGTGGAAGGGAGACTGGCCGACTCGGTCTGCGTTGGCCTTAGTGGCTCTCCAGAAGCCGGGAGCAGAAGGGGTTGGGGGTGAAGGAAGAAGGGGGTCCCAGGTAAGCCCGCGTCCGATCAGCAAGCGTTTGTGGGGTCTCCTCCGTGCCGGGTGCCCTTCAGGGGGACCGGGCTGAGGGAGCCGCGTCTTGGCAGTCCGGTCGCTGAATGGGTTGGGCTGCCCCCGTGTGGCGCTCCCGTTGTCGGGCAGGGAGCCGGGACGGGACTCGCTGCTGGAAAGCGGGCGGAGGCTCGGTCGAGGTGTGACGTCAGGAAAGGGTCCGTGGGGCCGAGAGGGGTTGGGAGAATCCTGATCCCAATGCACTTCCCTGCTTTCTCTCCCCCAGAACCTTTCAGCTGTCGGGGCGCTGGTGGGTCTCAGCAATGCCCGTCTCGGTTCCGTGAAAACCCGGTAAGTGTGCGCCCCGTTCTTCCTCTAGGGGGAGGTTTCCTTAGGAAGTGGGCCGCGCGTCTGTCCTTCTGTCCCTCTATTGTCAGCACCCCGCGGATTCCGGAGACTTCTCCGTTCCCAGCGCGGGGAGGGCTTCGTTCTTTCCACGGGCTCCCTTGAGTTGAGTGCCCCCCTCCCCCTTCCAGCTCCCGAGTTTCCTCAGCCCCCGTGGGACCACCCGGGCCCCCGCGTCCCCACTGCGCACCCCTCGCCGGGAGCCCTCCCGGCGCTGCGGGAGTTAGAGCGCCCGGGGGTCTGCGGCAGCACCTGGCCCTGCCCGGTTAGCATAGAACAAGCTTCCTCCGCGGCCAGGCTTGTCCTCACGCCCTCGTCTCCTGCAAGGTTCGAAGGGCTGTGTCTGCTGTCCCTGCTGGTGGGGGAGAGCCCCACGGAGCTGTTCCAGCAGCACTGTGTGTCCTGGCTTCGCAGCATCCAGCAGGTCCTACAGGTGAGGCTGCCCCCCGCCCCGCCCCTGCCCCGGCTCCATCCCGGTGCTCCCGGTGTGCTGTGGGCGCTGGGCCTGGGCTCGGGCTCGTGAGGACAGACAGGACTGGCTGTTCCCCGTGAACGGGGAGCACGACTGCACGTGGGAACGTTGTGGGAGACCGTTGGATATTTCTATCCACGGGGTTGTTTTAATTCATTTGACCTTTCGCACACCGCGACCCTTGACCGTTTGCACTTCCTCGCTAGCCTTTCTAACACGTGACATCTCGAAAGTTCCTTTTCCCCGGTATTTTATTTTTGTTTTTATTTGTTAGTATTCTTACTTTTTGCTGCTCCCTTCTTCCTCTCTCAACATTTTAATTTTTTTCTACTCTTACGCCCTTTGATGGCCTCCCCACCCGGTTCTTCAGTGAGCATGTTCTGAGCACTTGCGGCCGAGTGCTGAGCTCTGGGGGACAGTGGTAAGGCGGACTTGAACCCTGCCTTCATGGTCCCTGGAATCCAGGGGTCGGGGAGCTTTCTGTGGAGTGAATGTTTACAGATGGAGGAAATGAAGAAAAACAGCAACTTTTATTTGGAAAAGACAGCATATAAACCATCCCCTAAGAGTTCATTCTAATGAGTTGGTACTCCTATCTTTAGAGGATGTATTTGGAGCAGATTGATGAATCTTACCTCTGTGGTGGCCTTAAACAGTTTACCCCTTCATAGAAATCCGTGTATCCGAGTGAAGGATGTTCTTCTTAAATAGACTCAGTTGTGGTCATTCTAATTTTCCCCTGAAACCAAAGCATACTTATATCCATCTTGCTCTTCAAACGTACCGTACTTTGCGGACCCTGTCGTAAATGCACGTGAAAGCTTTCAAATGTCAGCGACTTAAAATTTTTTGTGTTTTTTATTTTTTGAGAGAGAGAGAGAGTGTGCTTATGCACACAAGCTGGGAGGGGCAGAGACAGAGGGAGAGAGAATCCTAAGCAGGCTCTACACTTTAACCATAGAGCCTGATGTGGGGGCTTGAACCCACGAACTGTGAGATCATCACCTGAGCCAAAATCAAGAGTTGGACGCTGAACGACTGAGCCACCCAGGCACCCCAGATCTCAGCTGGTTTTAATTAGCTTCTGAATTTTTAAACTACTGAAAACTTTCTCAAATACTTATACGGAGTAGATACCAAAGGCCTTAACGTAATTGTATTTCTGTTTCTTTAGAAGCTCTCTAGATCGTGCTGTTTATCATTAAGACTTATTTTGAGTGCGTCGTTTCAACATAACTCCTTTGATTTCTCCCTCAACAAAATAACCCAAGGGCGGTGTTTTATCCTATCTCGGGCCACCTTTTTAAATTGTATTTTATTAAAATATATATTTCAATAAAAACTTATTTTTATTATTTTTAAAATTTATCTTGCAAGTGAGAGAGAGTGTAAGGTGAGGAGCAGAGAGAGAGGGAAAGAAAGGATCTCAAGCAGGCTCTGCTCTGTCAGCACAGAGCCCAACGTGGGACTCAGTCTCACGAACCGTGAGATCATAACCTGAGCGGAGATCAAGAGTTGGGACACTTAACCATCTGAGCCACCCAGGTGCTCCGTTTTATTTTATTTTTTTAAGTACGCTTCACGCCCGCAGTGGAGCCCAGCGTGGAACGTGAACTCACGACCCCGAGACCGAGACATGAGCTGAAACCGGGAGTCAGATGCTTCTCTGAGCCACCCAGATGCTCCC